TTTTGCCTGATTACGGTCGTTTGTGCCCATACCAACACGTTGTTGGAACATTCACAGTTCTCTGCTTGTATAAGTTGACATATTTAAGGCCGAAACACATGCGCGAAAACCCATCCGCAAGTCGCGCGAAAACCCGTACATGCCACGAGAATTGTTTCACACCCTATTTCGGAAAACGAGGGTATTTGCTTCACAGATATTGTAAATACGGTTGCGTTTAAACCTCTATCGTTATCTTTGTACGTCTAGAAAAAACGCGTGATTTTGTTTTTGTTTACGACCAGGAACCATTTTTGCATGCTCGAAATGTCACACAATATTCGGTTGATTTGGCGCATATATGATTTGGCGCATATAATTCTGCGACCCCCTTACTGGATTCGTGCGTAATGTAATTCAATGAATAGTGGTTGTTTAGATCGCTTAACAAATCGAAGAACGCGCAATAGACCCTTTGCAAAAGTTCATCATGCAACATTGGCGGTCGCCATTGCTTGGATGGTCTTTTTGGGCTTAGGCTAGGTGGCGTGAGCTACCACCCGTTACAGAGAATATTTTCATTAATATCGATCCATCCATTCATTCATCCATTGGACATGAAGCGCTGGATTGAATCCAAGCCTTTGCTGAACGCTGACGGAGCCCTCGTGTCCAATACATACTCAGATCACGTGGCCAAGCAATGGCGGACAGGCGTTGCCGCGGACTTTTGAAAATGGTATATCAGTTATGACTAAGCGATGCTTGAGGGCGAGTTGGTGTAAGTTCATGATTTTCTTAGAGCACCTGAGATGTGGTGCAGAAACCTGAAGCAACCGAATTAAGAAGAAGAGCGAAAGGACGAAAGAAACCAACGTCCCAATGTGACGTTGGTGGAGACGTTAATTTTTGTCGTCTTTTCTCTGTTTGAAGCTACCTTGCCGCAAGATTTCAACTAATCGCTTAAGACAAGAGAACACGCTGACACACTGGTGCCATTTACGAGGTAGTCCTTGAACTGTGTTTGACTAGAGTCACAAGAATCAAAGAAGGAATAAAAAACACGTAGGGACAAGGACAGAGAACACAGCTCTTTCAACTAGAAACAAATATTTACTGATGTCTCCTTCGATGCGTTCATTTTCTTTCCCAACTTCTTAAACTGAAAAAAGAAGATACGTGAAAAAACACCCAATAAACGGAGAAAATCTCGTAATAAAAAAAAAAATGAGAACGAAAGAATATAAAAAAGGAGTTTAAAGGGAAGTAAAAAAAACATTTACAAATTCAGTTCTGGCTTTAGATAGTTAAGCCCATTGATTAATTCAGTTTGGTCTGGCTTCAGGTAGCTGATTAGCCTTGGATAACCCCAAAAAAGGAAAAGCGATGTTGTTTTCGTCAGCAGCTATCCTGTAGGCCTCAATGATCTCTCAGCCGAGCTGGTTCTTGTGTTTCCCAATCATGCTGGTGTTGTGGAAGCGAGTTTCACAATTCGTGCAGAGGCGTTTATGAACCACAATTGGGTGAAAAGTTTCGCTTGAAGAGCGGGAATCCTCGCCTCGAGGATGTGATATCTTAAGCGGGTGTTTAGACTACGCCCTGTTTGACAAATGTATCGGTTAGCGCGTGGAAAGGGGACGGAGTATACCACCCACTCTTCAAATGGAACCTTCGGATTGGCATGTTTTTTGTTTTTTTTTTTTGTTTTGGGGGGGGGGGGGCATCGTTGTTGTTGACTCTTCTGCACACTTGTTTTAGGCGCAACTTGCACGGGGAAACAACTGAAGTGTTGAAGCGTGCTGGTACCCTCTTCAGTCCGTGTGCAGAGTTGTGCACACATGGTATGCGCATGAGATGTGAAGCTTTACTTCGGGGAGCACGGGGCCTTTGGGGAGCTTAAATTATCTAAAGGAGAACAGTACTCGGTAGAACTTGCAGATATCCAGCCTTGAGGAAGCGCTCTTATGGTTTTCAAATATGTAGACCAACTAAGCGAACACAAGATTTGGTGCGTGAAGATGAAAGGAAGGAACCGGATAATTCCATGTTTGAACAGTTTAGAATAAAAACAACAAAAAAAAAATACAATTTTTTTTTGGGGGGGGGGGGGGGGTGCTGGGGGCATTGTTGTAGAAAGGCTTAACAAATGTCGTACAGAGTAAGATGAAGACCAAGATCAATATACTGGAGACCTTGGCCTGAACTGTCTTCTCATGTAAAATTCCGGCCTGAAGACGAAGAGGTGAAGGCCTTGATTACCGAATCTGAAGGAACGCGGATTAGGAGAATGTCATCAACATAAGGGAAAGCATGGAAGATTTGTGTCAACTTTTCAAAGCGTGATTTGTTTCCTGGACACCAGCATAATTGAGAAACACAAGAACAAGCTCGGCCGAGAGATTATTGAACCCCACAGGATAGCTGATGACGAAGGCAACATCGCCGCCCCTTCTCTTGCGGTGTCCAAGGTTGAGATCAACTACTTCAAACGAAAACTGAATTTGTCAGTGTTTTTTTGTTTTTTTTTTCGTTTTCTTTTTTGTCCCCTTTTCTTCTTTCTTTTTCTTGTGTATTTTCTTTTCTTTTTTTTTTCATTCCTTTATTTTGATTTCTTTTCTTTTCCGGGTGTTTTTTTCATGCACCTCCTTGAGTTTAAGAAGTTGGTAAATGAGAAAAAAGAAAAAAGATAAAAAAAAAGTCACCGACGAGTGTGCGCGACGTGTACACACACATGCAACCGCATGCAACCATACAAAGCAACAGCCAATAAGAAACGAGCTTCAGCTCTTGCTCCTAGCCAATAGGATGCAACCCAGCTACGCTTACAAACATGGCGGACGGTTTCGTGCCCGACGCCGGTAGCGGGGTCCTCACCGGAGCAGCCCGATGTTTCGGCTACGGCGCACATTCACGAAGATCTGCTGTGCGCCTACAATAGCTGTGTAGAGGCTGGTTCAGACATCTGAAACGAACCCGTTATCCACGACTGCGTCCGTTGTGACCGGAACGACCGCTCTGCGCCGCGCGTACACTCCTGCAGCCACCGCAACAAGCGCAGCTGGTCGGCAGCACGGCGACCGCCTCTCCGCCGCCGTCAGCTGCTTCAGCGGTGCCTCTAAAAAAAAGAGGACGCTCTGCCACTCACTTGCGCAACAGAAAATAGACAGACGGTCTTCTATGACCACACACTTTATTTTTTATTTTTCAGGATACGCTTGCAGGGTAGTGCGTTAAAAAAAGGAAAAATGGTGCAGTACGCCGTCTTGCACGATCAGGACTTTAATACACGACTTTGCCAACAGTACTAATCTCGCCACACGGCTTTTCTACGATTATAAAAGACGATGTAATCTTAGCAGCGATATAGAAACGTAGAAATATAATTTCGTGATAAGATAGGCGTTGCGAGCGTTCAGGATTTCTAACACTAATCACCTTTTTCGGGTGATGAAAACGCGTGAAAATTCGCATCCTTTATACGGTACGCACCAGTAATACCTTGAACTTGAACACACGCATGGAATGCGCCAAAAAAGAAATCCGGGCGATGTTCGAGGACACAAATGCTAAGAAAGCACCACTGCAGTCGAAGTAAACAAACACGACGGCACGGGCGTTTCTGCTGTCTTGAGGGTGCCGCCACGAGTAGGTGGATCTTTTCTTCTAGTACGTGCTGGGTTATCATAACGACACACGACGAAAATTCACAGTCAAGGATGGAGCTTTTACGGGGAACGATGAGCTTCCACCACGCCGTCCACGTCGACGATCACCACCGACGCCATGTTTGCAGCTAGGAGGAGACCGGCACGACCGGCATGCAACGCACGCGACTCAGCTCTCCTCGACCCGTCATTGGTCTGTCGCTCCCGTCGTTCCCGAACGTAACAAAAAAGTTCAGCCCGGCTCAAATCCTTGCGTTGCGAACGAACACGAACGAAATGACCGTTTGGCGCTTCGTTGCTATGGCAACTCGTCGTTCCAACCGGTTGCATTCGTTCGTAAGCGTAGTGGTCGCTCCGAACGCAACTGTGTGAACGGGCTTTAAGACAAACCCCCGAGACTGGGGAAAAACGAAGGAAAACACAACGCACAGAGTCTCAAACACAGCTGAATTTTATTCCACGGAAGTTCTTGTTTATATAGGGTTTTTTTACTGCCCACACAAACCAAAAGCAAAGAGAGGGAAAGTGAGAACAGGATGTTCGAGTGAAATGATTCAGGTTCAACCGAACATTTCCGGCTTTGTGCCAAGTCCTTTGCGTTTGTGTAAAGAGTGCTCTCACTTTCTTTCTCTTTTCTTTTGGTTTGTGGAGGCTGTAAAAAACCCTATATAAACACGAAGTTCCGTGGAATAAAATTCAGTTGCGTTTGAGACTCTGTGCGTCGTGTTGTCCGTCGTCTTTTCCCCAGTCTCGGGGATTTGTCTTAAGTTATGTTAGTAAATGTTCGTTGCTAGTTGAAAGAACTAAGCAGTCTCTCCTTGTCATCGATGATTTTCTTTTTTTCTTTGATTCTTGTATTTCCACTAGCCCACTCTTTGTTCTTTGACTAGAGCGAAGGTTTCGCAGTATTTGCGGGATCAAATGTATCATATATCTAGGAATGGTCGTTTATGCAATTTTCAAAAGCTTTTTTTACGCCCAGGTTGAAAGAGTTAGGCGCAAAACCAGCAGAAGAATAATGGAATATTGCGGGAATTCAATGTCCCCTCATCGCTGTCACCCAGCACGCTCGCTTCCTCGCGCCAGCGTCTAGACAACGGCGTCTCGTATAAAATGACTTGCCGTTTGCCAGTCTGTTTTGCCGTCTGACCTTACAATATAGGCAAGTCGAAAATATTTCAGGTCTACCAGGCATATGTAGCGTCAGTGTGTCCTCCCGTAGTAAGCGATCACTAGTGAGAACAAACAACTCTGTCACAACTAAACGCAAGTGTCCGAACCACCTTCGGGTCTTTTAGGGAAATGACACGCAATTGCTTTTTCTCCTAGGTAATCAACCGACAAGCATCGAGAAAGATGGCGCTTAAGGCCCGGATTGAAAATGGCGTCGTCTACTCTCCCTATCCGTCGGAGCCCGTACCTCAAATGTCGCTTTTCCAGGTGGTCAGACAGTGCCTCGAGCAACACGGAAACAGAACAGCTGTGGTAAGTCCATGGTAACGTGGTAGAGCCAATTTATAAAAATAAAATACTAACTCCGGTATAAAACGAAAATTAGTTAGGAGGAAAAAATCATATTTATATCTGTGGTGTAAAGTCAGGAGAGTTTAGGAGACGCAGAGATTAGAGCAAGAACAGATGATATGAAACAGGTATGAAAACAGACTGTAAAGCCGATGGCGACACTTCTTTTCCGGCTTCGAGCTGAGGCGTTCTTCACGAAGTGGTAAAAAACCTTCTGTTATGACTCGTGAGATTAACGGTGTCGTCTGTTGTCCACCTGTGGCGGGCGGTGGAGTGCGGACAGCTGCCGAACCCCGCACTATCAATGCTCAAGATAAGGATGGAGTGGGTCTGGAGAGCTACACTGTAGTCACTTGGGTTCATTATATAAACTTTCAGAAAAAAATCATGACAAAAGAAGATCTAGCATCCTTCGTGCAGATATTATTCATTAGGGAGTTTTAGCAAGTCGTTTCCACACGAACGGTTCGCCCTCGAACGCATCGGCGACGCCACTGCGCATGCGCGTGCGAGTCGTTCGGGGCTTCGGGAGGCTCTCCTCGTTGGTTTCTCCCATTGCGGCCGCTGGAGTCGTCACCGCAACGCAGCCAGCACCGTTCACGACTGGGGTAAAAAAAAGATGGCGATCGGCTTGCCCACTTTTCTCGCCGATCCAGCCGAGCGTTAGGCTTAGGACAGCGGAAGACGATTTGATATCTTGTTAGTTTGCTTCATTGGAGAGATTGAACCAAATCATTTTGACGCCTGCTCACAACGGTAACCGATCGAGAATGCTGTAAACGGCGCACGATAGTAGTAAACTTTTGCGGCCTGCGGGCAGACTAACTGCCGTGGCGACAGCGAGGAGGCGAAATTATTTGGTTCGACCGCACACAACGTGTACGATCGTTCAAGTTCAAGATGACAGAGAAACGCCACCTATTTTTATGGTCGTTCCGATACCTTGTACTCTTTCTAGCTTCGCAGTTCTTGAAATTTCGACCGGCAAATGTTAAGTCGGCCGCCTTGTTTACATCAGTCGAACGCCGGAAACACGAGCCGCCGCGGATTTAAACGTTGCAGAATGTTTCACATGTTTATTGGAAGATGGCGCCACCGGTCAAACACAATCATCATCATCGCTTACACAGTTGCGCCAGCTTCACGATTCAAATTTTAAGTAGAATTTTACGTAAAATGTTATGTGAAATTTTAGTACGGTTTCACGGAAAGGACCAGCTGCACCGCTCGTGATCTCGGAACCGCGAGCTCAAAAAACGACTCGCTAAAAGTCCCTATTGCCTCATTTCTTTAATCGATAAACGAGCATTTCCACGTACTGCTATGCTATGTCTGTGTTCGCACCCTCCAACTTCCAGAACTAGTAACGTCAAAAATTAGGGGACTCGCAAAGCACAGGCCGTAGTATATTTTTTTTGCATACTTCCTGTAATTATTGAATTGTTTTTCACGTACCACAAAGCCTAGTCTGAAACATCTACATCCTTGCACGTTCCTGTGCGATACTTGCTTGATCGACTGCCTGGAGGTGTTTTATGCTGGGACTTCTTTATGGTGTCTATCCCAATACAAGCACTTTAATATGTAGTGATGCCTGGAACGGGAATGCAAAAATCCTATTCGTTGTGGGAAGTTTGTGCTTGGGGGTCCCTGAGGACTCCTGGCATTTGTCAGAAAAGGATTCACAGGACATCGAAAATGTTTCCTAACCAGAGATATCGATAGGCAGTGCTACAACATTCTTGGGAGCAACGTTCGGAAAACGAAAGTTTTTTATACTTCATTAGATTTTACAGCGAAATCATTTACAATTACAATACAGACGGCAGTGATGAGACATTGGAGATTAAAAGCAAGCTATGAATAAAGTGCTATGTTTTCCCTTTACGGTCAATAACCTCCTACAGACTATCCAGTCGGTTCGCATTAAAACTCTGCCGAGCAAGATCATCCCGAAACACTGCAAGCATACAGAGAGGTCACTTTTTAGAGCGTAGCTCTTAGGCGCCCGTTTCCGGCTTGAGCGGCGTCGGCGTCGGCGTCGCCGTCGGCGTAACCGAGTGGTGCATTATGGATAAATCTCCCCGCTAAATTTAGCGGAAAATTTTCCCCGCTAAATCTAACGAAAAAATTTCCCCGCTAAATCTAACGAAAAAATTTCCCCTCTAAATTTAGCGGAAAAATTTCCCCGCTAAATCTAGTGGAAAAATTTCCCCACTAAATCTAGCGGAAAAAATTTCCCCGCTAATCTTAGCGGAAAAATTTGCCCGCTAAGTCTAGCGGAAAACTTTCTCCGCTAAATCCGGCGAAAACATTTCCCTGCTAAATCTAGTGAAAAAACTTTCCCCGGTAAATTTAGCGGAAAAATTTCCCCGCTAAATCTAGCGGAAAAAATTTCCCCGCTAAATTCAGGTGAAAAATTTCCCCGTTAAATCTAGCGGAAGATTTTCTCCGCTAAATGTAGCGAAAAAATTTCCCCGCTAAATCTAGCGGAAAAAAATTTCCCCGCTAAATATAGCGGAAAAATTTCCCTGCTAAATTTTGCGGAAAAATTTCCCCGCTAAATTTAGTGGAACATTTTCCCACAAATGGGAGGCGAGCAGGAGAGGAGGAGGGGCATAACCTCCTCTCCGTACCTTCCCCTCCTCCTCCTCAAGAGCTGCGCTCTAATTCGGCGTTACGGCTTTCATTTTTTATGATCCGATTGAGCTTCCTATGAAGCGTTTCATCAGGCAAGACGTCTTCGCATGTTCGTTAAAGTTGCGCTGATGTTGAAAACGCTTGTTGCATAGATTTAAGGTGCAACCCCACCCTTGGTTAGTGTGATTCTGAACCGATGGATGGCGGTGGGACCGCCTTCCAGGCCTTTACATCAATGAGAGAAATCGCGTGTGGTGGCGCTTCGATACAGTCGGGTATTTTTCTATATCCTGAATTTGACATCCCTGGTCCTTCGCTTCTTTTTTTCTGCGCAAGATTTCTTTTGAGCGCGCACGGCTGCGCCAGTTCTTGTGCAAGGAGGCCAGTTCCCTACGCTCATAGCGCACGTCTCCAGCAGATATGGTCAGAACAAAACGCGAAAATCTTCTTCAGTCAAATGGCGAAACACATGCACAACAAAACAACCGACGCGTAGAAATATATAATATTGCCTGTGCACCGTTAGCACGCCGCGGGTATTTTAGAGGCCAATTACACATATTTCAATGTGATCAGATTTATGTGACGGGCCGGCCCTTTTGTCGTGCATCTGTTTGGCTCTTTGTGAATTTTCAGGAAAACGTGATGACGTGATAGACTTGGGTTTCCAAAATTCTAACTTGAGGAATTAAATACCTCAAAAATCAAAACAAATAAACTATTTTTAAGTGGTCAGGTGTCTCGTTTAGGTAGCTGGGTGTTTATTTTGACCAAATCCACGAGACTGAAAAAAACAAAAAAATGACACTCAGGTTTAGATCTTGAGTTTAGTAAACTTAAAGAAGGACTAGTGCGGGAGTCATAATAAAAAAATGCCAATGTTAAAAATTAACTCGCAGGAATAAATTATACAAATTTATTTTAATACGCGTTCAGTGATAAATGGTGATAAATGCAATGACTGGCTAGGCAAAGAATCTGGGTAGGTGGATAGCTTTTGCACAAAGTTTGGCCAATGTACCAGTCTTAATTTGGTGATATATGGGCGAAAGTAGTGGCGTGCAAAAATGAAAAAGTATGCAAACGGGTAGAGTTTGACGTTCTCTAAGATATAGTGTAAGCACGCACATGGTACGCTGACTAAGACTAAAAGAGCGCTACATTTTACACTACCGTTTAGCGTATCGAAAGTGAAAGGTGCATCAAAAGCTAAAGCTTACGCACATATACCGCTCACGCCGTTATGTTTGACTGTTCATAGTACTCTATTACCCTCAGATTTGGTGTGAGTTGTCTCCTGATTGCTTACAACCGAAAGAAGGAACCATTCTAACTCTCGGATGACAGAAAAACTCCACCTGATCCTCTCGGCGCCGATTATAAGTATTCCCTGCATGCCAACGGTCGCGTGCTTAGAACTAGTTTTTCCCACGTGAATTCATACAATCGCAATTGTTCCAGGCAAACAACATTGTTTACTCACACAAGCGGCCTATTGTGAAGTTTAGAATATATTGTATTGATTGTGGAACACGTGGCCAGTAGCATAGGTGTTTTGTTTTTTACACTACGCGAAATAGAATGCTCCTGGGTTACCCTGGTCTCTAGTGCACGTAGCACACAAAAGAGCACGAGTTGAATAACATTAGGACACGAAAACAGTAACGATAAACAAGTCTGTAATCACGGGGAAACTGAGGGCATTGCACATATGCAGAAGGTAAGTTTTGTTTCACTAAATACATTACCAGCAAGGTATTTGGTTTTATCGTGCGAGCGAAGCGGAACATGCAAGCGAGAGCATGCTGCCCTGAACTACTCTTCCAGTGAACTAGCGCACCGTTCAAAGCATGGACCTTGCTTTTATAGCTTTTGGTGCGCTCAAACCTTTTAGAACACAGTTATAATCAATTATATTATTTAATTTCTTTTTATTAAGTGCGCCTGTTTTTGTTTTCTCTTTTTTGTTTACGTGTTATTTTCTTAGTTATATAATATTTTTTTCAAAAGTCCGACTACTGTAGTCTGTTTCACCACAAGTAAGAGTCGCATAATAAAAAATGTAGACAAAAAAAGAAAAAAAGAACGCGAACACACATTAAAAATGCAATATAATGTGGCATTAAAAATTATTCGTTAGTTTTTTAGAGTTCAGAAGTTTCGTAGGGTGGCATTGTTGCAAGTTGTAGACTATAAAAAGTGCAGTACAACTGTTAGCTTGGGGTCTTTGACGTGCATCACGCAGTATATGTCGTGCACGATCGCACGTCGGTAGGATGCAGACGGGCGACAGAACCCAAAGTCTCTGCTAAAGCCCCTTGATAAAGGCGCTTCTATAAGTACACCCACCATTGTTGTGGAAACGCGCAAGGAAACGCGGCACGTGCCACCAGCGGGTCCTCCGCCACCATTCGCTTTCAAGGGCCACTTATTTTAGTGCTGCGTCGCCATTTGCCTCCAAGGGCCGCTCGAGACACGGGCTTCGTGCACTGGCACATTTGACGTTGCGTTACTTGAAAGACCAACGCAAACACATTGAGGGGCTTTAGTCCCAACAGGTTCTTGGAGGTAGGGGGGGGGGGGGGGGGGGTTGTGTGGATATTTAGACAGCGTGTAGTTGGTCAGCCATTTCAAAGTTGCGACGAGTCACTCACTGTAGATGATAAATTTAGTCAGTGCAGCACAACCGCTAGCCTGGGGACTTTAACGTGCACCACGCAGTAGTGATACACGACCACACGCCGGTACGATGCTCATTCAGATCGAAACGGGCAGGAGTGGGGATTGAGCCCAGGATCCCTGGGTTCTGCAGCGCGAGCTTTCGCTCCACATGCTCCGAGCTGGTGTACGTTAGCCCACGCGGCCACCGAACCCCTCCCTAGAGATTCTGCAGCGTGATCTCTACGCTTTGAGCGGAGCTCGCACTCGCGCATTTCCACGTGCTCCGATCTGCGGTGCCACAACACATTCGGCCAACGATCCCCCACCACACTTGGTTTAGCCTAGATCCACTAAATTAGCTACGCTTGGAGTATCGGCACTCTTTTCCTTGATACTGTTGAGGGCGCCGCCATCTTGGTGGTTAGTACAAACCAAACGCAACTGCCGATCGTCATGATTCAAAAGGGCGACTTCCTCAGCATTAGTTTCGGTGTTAGGAAGTTCACGTAATATTGTTTTTCATTGGCATGAACTGTTTAAACATTTGTGGAGGACGGAAAAGGGTTTCCTGTGGTTTCAGATAAAGCTTCAGATAACTGACAACCATCATTTTAAGCGGCAAGATATGTATGAGGCGTAGTTAATTTAGTAGCTCTGGTTTAGCCCGACCGCACGGCCACAGAACAAGAATGAACTTCTTGACATCGCGCTCTTGGCGCTGCTTCAGTGGCTTCATCAGCCCGTAGCATTGACTGCGCTCTGAACTAAGATAAAGCAACGCAAATATTCAGATCTTAGGGTTTTACAAGCCAAACAAAGAAAAATCAATTGCGGGTTTATTTTGACTAACTGGAGATCTTTTGACGTGCAACCGATATCTCAGGTTGGTCTCCGTCCGATTGCGGGCACCTCGGCCGATACTGAAACCCGACTAACAAGAATTTATGGGCCAGCTTGTTGGCTCAGAGACACTGAGACGTTTTAATGTTTTGTGTTTTGTTTTAATACCATTGCCACTTAAGAGGAACAGAGGTTGTTTTGTAACAAAATATAGTCGAACCATTCCGACAAGCATATTTTGATAGCGAAAATGACTTTTCAAGTGATAAAAACATTCAAATGTTTTCGCATACGTGGCGGAATGCTTTTCACGGCGCCTATTTCATTTGGATGGGGTCAGGCATATGTACGGGCGCACAGTAGAACGCGCGCTGAAGCAGCTGTGATGCACCTGCAGCCTCGCGCTTGTTGTTCTGACATCTCTGGCTCGCTCTTTGCGGGCGGGCATCCAGGCATCTGACACCCTGACATCTGCCGCTTGTTTCGTCTTTCACGTGGCGTTCCAAGCGGCACACGACCGAAAATGCACATCAATCTATTCTTGAACACGTGTCACCATCTGCATTTTATATTAAGGAACCGCAATTTGCCGTAACTGAATGGCAAATATTTGAGGTCTAATAAAATTTTAACGTGTAGTATATCAATATGGAAGTTCTTAAAGTTGTAATACCGAAGGATGCTTCGTATTTTAATGTGTCGTAATTTTGGCTAGTTGACGTGATTTTGTTTTTATAGCACCACAAAAAATACCAGTTTAAACTTTATTTTTTATTTTAAAGTATGCATAAACCGTACCGTTCGTTGCTTACTTTTTTCATTTATTATATCCAACCGAACGCTCACGTAAAATATTGTGAGTGATGGGACGTTCTAGCTCGAGAAATAATGTTTTCAATACAAGAAACTATGGTCTATTAAAAACTGAATAATTAACTAATAGTAATATCGAGACATTAAAGTATTGTTCAAACACAGTTCTTTAAATTGACATTAACTTTATAAACGTAGGATGCATAGAAATAAACTTATAGACCGTCAAGAAAGCACCAAAACGTCATGCACGGTGGGGTTGCACCTTAAGCATACTCACGGGAAGCCTGTCCTTCAAGATGCGGTACACTTTTATTCTGCCCATGGAACTCTCAACATGGATTCGTACACTAGATATTCGTCGTGCCTCCTCAGCCTCTCTAGCAGATAGTTGCTTCTTTTCGTGAGCCAATGTTGGTACGACAAAACTAACACTTCGCCTGGCCACATCATCTTTGTTAAAAAACCCTCTGCATATTCCCATCCTCAAGCTTTTCCAGGAAGCTCGGCAACTGGAGGAGCTTCTTGTTTAATGCTCGCCCTCCCCAGATCTTCGACACAAAGCTTTGGTTGGGATTACGCTCCATTTGGCGTAATCCCAAGCAAAACATTTAAAGCTGTTCGTTCCTTTGTAGTGGAAATACGTTTCAGACTTTGCACCAAACGCTAGAGGCCTTTCGATGCGGCACTCTGTGTAGTCGATGATGGCACGGCACTCTGGAAACTGCCTTCGAACAAGACTAGACAATGGCAGTCTTGTATCATCTTTTGATGTCAATATTATAAACCGCTTCAGTTGCGAGCTAAGCACAGGAATGTTGAGCTTCACGATTTTGCCGATGCTACACTCGGCCGAGGTCTACATTCTACAATGCTAGCCGTGGTTTGATCAGCACAATGAGCACGAATTATTTCAGTGTTGTGCCTTTTGGAACATAGAATCGAGCTCCCTCCACCGAGGCTACAATAAAAATTAAAAAGAAAACATGCTGGGAGGTTCGGCAGGTTTGTATAAAACTGAAATGAACAGTCTCCCAGCTGGACCGCCGAAAAAGGTACAGTTCCCGTTTCTTGTTCAATGTTGACAGGAGGCTCAAGTAGCTCTGCTAACTTTGCTTCGAGGATGCCAATATCTTTCTGCCGCCGTAAAACTTCACCTTCAAGGTTGTGCACTTTTTTCTGTACCTCTTCGAACTGCGACTCAGAAGCAGAAAAAATGTGTGAAAAGGTAAATGTAAAATGACCGCTTCTAGTAGATTTCTTGTTGCCTTTGGCAGTTTTTGGCGAAAGTATCGAAAATAGTGCTCGATATAGGAATTTTGAATAGTGCAAGCAATAAAATAGCATGAAAATTATACAGAGCCTATCATCTGTCAGTATGTTCAGTTCTACCAGCTGAGGCAGCTGGTCAAAATTTGCACATCTCAATAAAGCGGCGCTCCCTAGAAATTGTCGACGACTGGTTGTGCATGCTCGCATTTCACGGCTTACGTGATGAAGATGGTCTATGCACCTTTGTGATAAAGGAGGTGAGTTTCCTTTTCTAAACGCGATTTCAGCTTTGGATGCATGAACTACTAGGTACCAATAAAACAATTAGGATGCCATGAAGTTACCAGTTGGAATCCCGAATAATAAAATACTTCCATAGAACTGAGCTTCATTTGCGATTCGATGGTACCTTACAGCAAGTCTAGCAGTGCACGGATACCAGCAGCAGATTAGTCTGTGTTGATGAGGGCAGAGTTTGGATGAGAGCACTTTGTTGAAGAGTGCTGAGCTGCTGGAGAGGTGCTGTGCGATTTAACGAAAAAGCCATTAGCTGGTCGCGGGAGCACCATGCGTGGGAAGTACACAGTTCGATACAAATATTATGCGAATTAGATTTAAATGTGCAGAAGACTTCACGGACATCAACGAAAAATATAACTGGTTTGAGTTGAGCGAGTTGGCATACCATGTCTAAGAAAAACAGCTTGAACACTAAACATTTACACACAGACAGGACAGGACACACACAGCCCCGTGTATGTCCTGTCCTGTCTGTGTGTAAATGTTTAGTATATATTCAAGCTGTTTCTCATAGATATAAACAAAAAAATATTCCCAGAATTTTCACAGCGGTTCCTAAGTAGTTAAATGAGAAAACGTTTACTCAATGCCAGACGGTGAAACATTTTGTCGCATTTTAACGTCAATTTGCAACATGTTTATGTTTATATTTACGCGTGCGCGGCGCATTTGGGGACGCAGGCTGCTTCCACGCGGAGAAACGGAATGCAAAACCCGCTCGGGCCTGATTATTTATTTTATTTTTATTTTTACTTTCATTGTATCCTCGGTGCAGGAAATGAGACATCGTTTCTCCATAACTTGGCAAACGGAGAAAGCTAAAGCTCGCGTGAGCCAATGAGAGTGTTGGAGCGAGTCACGTGACAACGTACGGTGGTGCGTGCTGTTCCTGAAAGTTCCAGACGGTTCTCGGCTGTCATCGTCTATTCTGGTGCTGAACATATCTGAACATTCAGCGTGTATAGAAGCAGCGGAAATGCGCTCCTTCGGGGCAGTTGCTTTTTTGTCGCCTTCGCACAACTTCCGGTCTCTTTTTCTTTAAGCTTCCAGGCACAAGCTCGCCTGAATAAACGTTACCTTTCTCTTTCATATTCGTTTATCGTTTGCCATCCGTGGCAATATTTGTATATTATATAACTTCCATTCTAGCTAATGGAGGCTGTCCTAGTTGTTGAATTAGAACGCACGCTCCAATAATGCTGCAGGTAGTGTTTGTGAAGCTGCAACCGAGTTTGTTGCGGTGCCTTTTCAACGCAACACTTTCTATTTCAGTATCTATAGTTGGTGACTTGGTACACCCGACAGTCATAAAATATAAAGTGAAAAACGTGTTGCAGGTCTGGGAGGACGAACAAATCACTTTCGCTGAGCTCCTTAAGATGTTCCAGCAATACGCCGCTGGGTTCCAGAGGCACGGAGTGAAGAGAGGCGAAAAGGTCCTGGTGCATTTGGACAATTCCCTGGAGAACATGATCGCCATGTACAGCGTCGTGTTCGCAGGAGGAGTTGCTGTGTTGTCGGAGCCTATCTTGTCAAATGGTGAGCATATGTGATAGTGGCTTTTACAAACAGTGTTTTGTAGAAAACTAAACTATCTTACTTTGACGCGCGGCTAGACACTTTCTGAGTTAATGTTGGAATTTGATAGGAGGCAGAAATAGTGTAGGGGACAATGACAAGACATTATTTTTTTTTAAGATGGTTTGTTCCTTGTGTTTGTCATTGTGCCAGAAGTTTCGATCGTCATGTGCTTTTCTTCGCGCATCGAATATCCTTTACGGCTTTGAACCTTCAGTGGTGCCTTCAAAGCGAAATTACAATGGCTTGATCATTCTGACAAAGACCGCAGAGCACTCAATGTGCTGTGAATGAGCAGGGCGCAGTATATGCGTGTGTGACGTCATGAGATCACATGCCTATGACGTCACACTCTGTCATGGTGTCACGAGACGTCACAGTCACGTGACCTCATGACGTCACTTGGTAATGACTCACGCGTCGTCATGATGTCATCATGGTGATGTCATAATGACCTTATGACATCATATGATGTTATGACGTGATAGCGTCACAGATGGCCAGTTACTAGATTGCCTCAGTTGTGGAACTCTCGCGATGGTGGGTTACTCCCTCGCTCATTTCAGTTTGCCTCCCGTAAGGTCCCTATGTACTAAAAGGTAGCGCAAAACATTGTCTGAAGTGGGAAGGAGAAATTCCCCCTCTCCCATGCCCTTTTTCGTTATAAATACGTCTTTGCCCTCGTTTCAATTGGATCAGGCGCGACACGAGACCGTTACCTTCCCATGATCCCGCACAATTCGACCGTCTGCTTTGAACTGCCACCGTTTTCGTGCGAGGAACAAGCAGTGCCTCCGCTGCTTACTTCAATGTCACAAGTTTTTTTTTTTTTTCTGGTTTTTTTTTTTTGTACTACGACTTTGGCGGAAACGCAACGCCATCTTGTTGCGTTGTGGATTGTACAAACAGACTTGCAAGATGAAAGAAGTTTCTTTTTTTTTTCGTCCCGACGGAGGAAAACGATTTTTAGCAACAAAGACAATAGACAGTTTTTGTAGATCGTGTTTTTAGGAGACGTTCTGAGTAGCGGGAGCTCACGCTGCAACTTCGATGCGTTCTCTGAAGCGCGCGCCCGTTGCTGTAGCGGGTCTTTGAAAATGATGTATTAAAATCCCCTGATGGCTCCACCGGATCGGTCGGAAGTGTTTCGACAGGCTCCGAGGGACATTAGTTTATTTGATGGGAAGTTAAATACATCAGGCGCGTAAATAGCAGACGTCGCAAAATCCTCTGTGTGCATATGCACAGTTGAAGGCAGTAGTCGATGTTTATCAAATCTGTACGCAGTAAATCAAGCTGCTGTCTTGGCTAAACGATCGGTATACCGCTAAAAATTACCGAAAATTCCTGGGTTTGCACGCGCTGTGCTGTCTTTTATTTGCCCAGCTCGAGTGATGCTGAGTCTGCAAATGCACTTCGTTCAAGATATTATTCTCCATCTCATGAGCTGCACGCAGCAGAGCCAAAAGCACGGGCGCGAGCACGTGGCTTTCAGATTTGCTTTTCTTTCTCGAGCACTTGTGAAGAAAAAGCAAACCTGAAAGCCATGTACCCGCGCCAGTGCTTTTGCTTTTGCTGCACATAACTCCTGAGATGTAGTACAGGAAGTTTTAGTGGAGCGGAAAATAAGGATTGCAGGCCTTCCTCGCGCGTGCTCAACCCATGCTCAAAGCGACTGCACTGTGCTGTTAGGCTTTGCTGAAGAAGAGGAGAACGACGAGGGTTTTGGATATAGAATAATAATAATAATAATAATAATAATAATATTTATTTTGGTTCAGGAGAACCGCGGTGCCGCAGAAAGGCAAGTAGCCCATACCAGGAAGGCCTGCGGCGCCGCATCTAAGGACGATGGGATGAGATTGTGTACAGATGACAGAGAGGTGCTGACGATGTTGAAATGGAGCCTGTCGGCGAGGGTGGCGGGATGATGTTACGGGTGATGTGGGTCGTACCCTCTTGTCGAATTTCTGCGGCTCTGGTCCTCCTGCCTCGCCGAAAGTTGGTCTTGTGAAGCCACCGGTGCGGCGGGTGGACTTATCATCGTCAGGCCGAGTAGGACGGCCGCCTCCGGGATGGAACCGGCTCGCAGCGCGCCGGGCTTTTGCTAGGCTTAACGCGGCTGCCACGAAAAATATTCAGAGTAAACATGGCGTCTAGGCAGGAGGCTACCGGGAGCGCTCTGTGTCATTAACAGCCAACAACACATGGTGTCAGAAGTTCAAGGACCCAGGACCCGAGAGGAACGGTGAGCAATGGCATATGCCAACTCATTCCAGTGCCAACCTCCCGCGGAATTCGATTTCGCCAGCCCCGATGAATGGCCTCATTGGAAGCGGCGATTCGAACGTTTCCGCGTCATCAGTGGACTATCAGAAAAACCTGAGCCTGAGCAGGTCAACGGTCTTATCTACTTTATGGGCGACAAAGCAGACGATATCCTTTTCTCGTTGAACCTGCCTCCAGCAAAGATGGAGAAGTACGAAGAAGTCCTTTCAGCTTTCGAGCGACACTTCGTAGTCCGACGAAACGTCATCTACGAGAGAGCGAAGTTCCACAAAAGAAGTCAGCGGGAAGGCAAGGGCGTGGAAGAATTTATAACAGAACTTCATAGCCTCGCCAAGACTTGCGACTTCAGCGTCCTACACGAGGAGATGATTCGAGATCGCATTGTCGTCGGGGTCCTCAACCAAAAACTGTCGGAGAAAATGCAACTAGATCCGGAATTGACACTCGAGAAGGCTACAAATCTGGCTCGACAGTCTGAAGCTGTCAAGAAACTGCAAGTTGCGCTTCACAAGTCCACAGAAGAAAACGTTGACAGAATCTTCAGAAAAGAAGCAAGTCAACAGGGTGGAAAGGAAAGAAATGGAGAAAAGAAAACTTCTCGATCGAGTTTACCAACATCCGAGAAAGTCTGTTCAAGATGTGGCAATGAACGACATAAAACGAACAAGTGCCCTGCGATAAAAGCAACATGCAACAAATGCAGAAGACAGGGGCACTACGCACGAGTTTGCAGAAGCTCTACCACCCTGAGGGAGGTAACAACGTCTGAGACGGCATTTCTTGGCACCGTGTTCACGTCAGAGGGACAGCGATAGATAGTCAAGGTTGACGTCCGAGAAGTCTCCATAACATTTAAAGTCGACACGGGGGCCGAAGTCACCGTGATTCCTGAGAAGATGTACAAAGAACTCTTCAATGATGTCTCTCTACAGAATCCCAAGAAAGTCCTCAAGGGTCCAAGTAAAAAATCCTTGACAGTTCTTGGTGTCATGAACGAGACCCTTTACTACAGGGGCAAAACATTCATGACCGACATCTACATCGTAGAAGACCTGGAACAGCCACTTCTCTCAAGACATGCAAGTGAACGATTAGGCATCGTACAGCGTCTTGATCAAGTTGGGGCCGTGCGAAGCTGCACAGTCGACCCAAAAAGAGAATACCCGAAGTTATTTTCTGGGTTGGGTCACGTCAAGATTCCGTACAAGATCAAACTGAGACCTGACGCTGTACCTTTCGCAATGATGACACCTCGAAGAGTGGCCATTCCTCTTCTCGGCAAGACCAAGACGAAGCTCGAAGAAATGGTAAAGATGGGAATAATCGAGCCAATCGAGGAACCAACTGAATGGTGCTCTGGAATGGTGATCGTGAGAAAACCCAACGGGGAGGTCCGAATTTGCGTAGATCTAACGGACCTCAACAAGTTCGTCGAAAGGGAAGTTCATCCACTACCTGTAGGAGAACACGTTTTCGGGCAGCTTACCGGAGCACGCTATTTTGCAAAGAACGACGCCAATTCTGGGTTTGGGCAATTTGAGCTTGCTGAGGAGTCCCAAGCTCTAACGACTTTCATCACACCCTTCGGAAGGTTCAAATTCAAGAGACTACCGTTTGGAATATCATCGGCTCCAGAAGTTTTTCAAAAGAAGATGTCGCAGTTTCTGAACGGTCTCAAAGGTGTTGTATGCAACATGGACGACGTTCTCATTTATGCCAGCTCCCAACAAGAGCATGATGACAGACTCCGCCTAGTTCTGGAGCGTCTCCAGGCGAAAGGAATGACTTTGAATTTGGACAAGTGCGAATTTAACGTACAAAGAGTGAAGTTCCTGGGTCACATCATCGACCGCGAAGGAATTCACCCAGACAGCGCCAAAATCGAGGCTATCGTTGACATGAAGCCTCCCTCAAGTGTTCATGAACTGAGAAGTTTTCTGGGCATGGTCAATTATTTGACAAGGTTCATACCAAACATGTCACATATCGCCTACCCACTCAATTCTCTTTCGAGCTCAAGGAACCAATGGGTTTGGGCTACGGAACAGCAGAGAAGCTTCGATCAGCTCAAGCACGCACTCACCACGAGTCCCGTACTAACGCTGTTCGACCCAAAAAAGAAGGCAGTGATTTCAGCCGATGCTTCATCATATGGCTTGGGGGCTGTGCTTCGGCAGATTCAAAAAGACGGGTCCTACAAACCTGTGGCGTACGCGTGACGGACACTCACAGAGATGGAAAAAAGGTACGCACAGGTGGAGAAGGAAGGCCTAGCGGTAGTTTGGGCATGTGAAAGGTTTCAAGATTTCATCACGGGCCTTCACATTGAAATTGAAACCGACCACAAGCCGCTTGTGCCAATCTTCATGTCTAAAAATCTAGCTGACATCACACCTAGACTTCAAAGAATGAAGATGCGGATGATGAGATTCTCCTATGTGATGAAGCACATCCCAGGAAAGTCTTTAATTGCGGCGGACACATTGTCCCGACAGCCTCTAAACGAAACTGGTGACAAAGATCTGGAGCAAGAGGTGGCTGCATATGTCAAGGGGGTGACAGCTGACCTTCCCGCGACAGAAAAGAGGCTACAAGAAATCAAAGATAAGCAGGCCAGGGACTCTACATGCAAACAGTTGGCATGGTACAGCGAAAAAGGGTGGCCCATCCGA